CTCTACTTTAAAGAGTCCTCCTGCTGATGTTCAGGTGTATATCAGTATGTAGTGTCCTCTACTTTAAAGAGTCCTCTCCTGCTGATGTTCAGTGTATATCATATGTAGTGTCTCTACTTTAAAGAGTCCTCTCCTGCTGATGTTCAGGTGTATATCAGTATGTAGTTGTCTCTACTTTAAAGAGTGCTCTCCTGTTATTTCAGTGTATATCAGTATGAGTGTCTCTACTTTAAAAGTGCTCCCTCTGATGTTCAGTGTATATCAGTATGTAGTGTCTCTACTTTAAAGATCCTCTCCTGCTGATGTTCAGGTGTATATCAGTGTAAGTGTCTCTACTTTAAAGTCCTCTCCTGCTGATGTTCAGGTGTATATCAGTATGTAGTGTCTCTACTTTTAAAGAGTCCTCTCCTGCTGATGTTCAGGTGTATCAGTATTGTTGTCCTCTACTTTAAAGAGTCTCTCCTCTGATGTTCAGGTGTATATCAGTATGTAGTGTCTCTACTTTAAAGAGTCCTCTCCTGTGATGTTCAGGTATATCAGTATGTAGTGTCTCTACTTTAAAGAGTCCTCTCCTGCTGATGTTCAGGTGTATATCAGTATGTTAGTGTTCTACTTTAAAGAGTCCTCTCCTGCTGATGTTCAGGTGTATATCAGTATGTAGTGTCTCTACTTTAAAGAGTCCTCTCCTGCTGATGTTCAGGTGTATATCAGTATGTAGTGTTCTCTACTTTAAAGAGTCCTCTCCTGCTGATGTTCAGGTGTGTATCAGTATGTAGTGTCTCTACTTTAAAGAGTCCTCTCCTGCTGATGTTCAGGTGTATATCAGTATGTAGTGTCTCTACTTTAAAGAGTCCTCTCCTGCTGATGTTCAGTTGTATATCAGTATGTAGTGTCTCTACTTTAAAGAGTCCTCTCCTGCTGATGTTCAGGTGTATATCAGTATGTAGTGTCTCTACTTTAAAGAGTCCTCTCCTGCTGATGTTCAGGTGTATATCAGTATGTAGTGTCTCTACTTAAAGAGTCCTCTCCTGCTGATGTTCAGGTGTATATCAGTATGTAGTGTCTCTACTTTAAAGAGTCCTCTCCTGCTGATGTTCAGTGTATATCAGTATGTAGTGTCTCTACTTTAAAGAGTCCTCTCCTGCTGATGTTCAGGTGTATATCAGTATGTAGTGTCTCTACTTTAAGAGTCCTCCTGCTGATGTTCAGGTTTATGTTCAAGGTGTATATCAGTATGTAGTGTCTCTACTTTAAAGATTCCTCTCCTGCTGATGTTCAGGTGTATATCAGTATGTAGTGTCCTCTACTTGAAAGAGTCCTCTCTGCTGATGTTCAGGTGTAATCAGTATGTAGTGTCTCTACTTTAAAGAGTCCTCTCCTGCTGATGTTTCAGGTGTATATCAGTATGTAGTGTCTCTACTTAAAGAGTCCTCTCCTGCTGATGTTCAGGTGTATATCAGTATGTAGTGTCTCTACTTTAAAGAGTCCTCTCCTGCTGATGTTCAGGTGTATATCAGTATGTAGTGTCTCTACTTTAAAGAGTCCTCTCCTGCTGATGTTCAGGTGTATATCAGTATGTAGTGTGTATATCAGTATGTAGTGTCTCTACTTTAAAGAGTCCTCTCCTGCTGATGTTCAGGTGTATATCAGTATGTAGTGTCTCTACTTTAAGAGTCCTCTCCTGCTGATGTTCAGGTGTATATCAGTATGTAGTGTCTCTACTTTAAGAGTCCTCTCCTGCTGATGTTCAGGTGTATATCAGTATGTAGTGTTCTCTACTTTAAAGAGTCCTCTCCTGCTGATGTTCAGGTGTATATCAGTATGTAGTGTCTCTACTTTAAAGAGTCCCTCCTGCTGATGTTCAGGTGTATATCAGTATGTAGTGTCTCTACTTTAAAGAGTCCTCTCCTGCTGATGTTCAGGTGTATATCAGTATGTAGTGTCTCTACTTTAAAGAGTCCTCTCCTGCTGATGTTCAGGTGTATATCAGTATGTAGTGTCTCTACTTTAAAGAGTCCTCTCCTGCTGATGTTCAGGTGTATATCAGTAGGTAGTGTCTCTACTTTAAAGGTCCTCTCCTGCTGATGTTTCAGGTGTATATCAGTATGTAGTGTCTCTACTTTAAAGAGTCCTCTCCTGCTGATGTTCAGGTGTATATCAGTATGTAGTGTCTCTACTTTAAAGAGTCCTCTCCTGCTGATGTTCAGGTGTATATCAGTATGTAGTGTCTCTACTTTAAAGAGTCCTCTCCTGCTGATGTTCAGGTGTATATCAGTATGTAGTTGTCTCTACTTTAAAGAGTCCTTCTCCTGCTGATGTTCAGGTGTATATCAGTATGTAGTGTCTCTACTTTAACAGAGTCCTCTCCCTGCTGATGTTCAGGTGGGTATATCAGTATGTAAGTGTCCTCTACTTTAAAGAGGTCATCTCCTGCTGATGTTCAGGTGTATATCAGTATGTAGTGTGCTCTACTTTAAAGAAGTCCTCTCCCTCTCTCCTGCTGATTTTCCAGGTGTAGATCAGTATGTAGTGTCTCTACTTTAAAGAGTCCTCTCCTGCTGATCGTTCAGGTGTTTCAGTATGGTAGTGTCTCTACTTTAAAGAGTCCTCTCCTGCTGATGGTTTCAGGGTATATCCATATGTAGTGTCTCTACTTTAAAGAGTCCTCTCCTGCTGATGTTTCAGGTGTTATATCAGATGTTAGGTCTCTACTTTTAAAGAGCCTCTCCTGCTGATATTCCAGGTGTATATCAGTATGTAGTGTCTCTACTTTAAAGAGTCCTCTCCTGCTGATGTTCAGGTGTATATCAGTATGTAGTGTCTCTACTTTAAAGAGTCCTCTCCTGCTGATGTTCAGGTGTATATCAGTATGTAGTGTCTCTACTTTAAAGAGTCCTCTCCTGCTGATGTTCAGGTGTATATCAGTATGTAGTGTCTCTACTTTAAAGAGTCCTCTCCTGCTGATGTTCAGGTGTATATCAGTATGTAGTGTCTCTACTTTAAAGAGTCCTCTCCTGCTGATGTTCAGGTGTATATCAGTATGTAGTGTCTCTACTCTACTTTAAAGAGTCCTCTCCTGCTGATGTCAGGTGTATATCAGTAGTAGTGTCTCTACTTTAAAGAGTCCTCTCCTGCTGATGTTCAGGTGTATATCAGTAAGTAGTGTCTTACTTTAAAGATCCTCTCCTGCTGATGTTCAGGTGTATATCAGTATGTAGTGTCTCTACTTTAAAGAGTCCTCTCCTGCTGATGTTCAGGTGTATATCAGTATGTAGTGTCTCTACTTTAAAGAGTCCTCTCCTGCTGATGTTCAGGTGTATATCATATGTAGTGTCTCTACTTTAAAGAGTCCTCTCCTGCTGATGTTCAGGTGTATATCAGTATGTAGTGTCTCTACTTTAAAGAGTCCTCTCCTGCTGATGTTCAGGTGTATATCAGTATGTAGTGTCTCTACTTTAAAGAGTCCTCTCCTGCTGATGTTCAGGTGTATATCAGTATGTAGTGTCTCTACTTTAAAGAGTCCTCTCCTGCTGATGTTCAGGTGTATATCAGTATGTAGTGTCTCTACTTTAAGAGTCCTCTCCTGCTGATGTTCAGGTGTATATCAGTATGTAGTCTCTACTTTAAAGAGTCCTCTCCCTGATGTTCAGGTGTATCAGTATGTAGTGTCTCTACTTTAAAGAGTCCTCTCCTGCTGATGTTCAGGTGTATATCAGTATGTAGTGTCTCTACTTTAAAGAGTCCTCTCCTCCTGTTGTGTGTGGGAGGGAACACAGGGATTTTAGCCTCTGCAGACCATTTACATGCACTAAAACCTACAGAACAATCTAGAGGGAATAACTCTTTAATATCAGTCTGTCTCATTTCCAGTCTTAATGCTAATCAACCATCAGAATCCCTTGAGTCGTCCGGAAGAGGGAAAAGGTACATTGTTTACAAGTAAAGAGCCAAAAGTAGCTTAGTATTAAACTAAGTATAGTTGAACTGTGACCTGACAGAATATTGCATTTTCTGTCTCCTCGGTCTTTAAATAATTCCAGGTTCCATGACACTTTTCTCAGCTAATACCTTATGTAGAGAACTGTTGGCCACAGAAATAGAGCGGTGCAGGAATGAGTCCTAAAACCAGGAAGTGAGTTAGCATTTCACCACTTCCTGTTCCCCTGGTCTCAGAGCCAATGGGATCTCTCCATAGGGGTTAGGGTAATAGCTGAACTAAGGTCTGTGGTTGAGACACATTGAAGAGACGGATCACGTTTTGTTCTAGAACATTAAATCATCAGCAGAGACCCCACTGGTGATTTCTGAAGAGTGGACGTGTCTGAAAACGATGGTTGTTACCAAGTGGCTGAATAGGACTACAGAAGTCGTGGAGGCCGTTGTACGTCATTACGCCGAACACGTGAACACTCCTCTAAGTTAGTTTCTGTTCTGCTTGAAAGCAAGTCCCTGCCTCCTGCAGAGTGTTCAAACAAACGCTTCAACTCGTTCCATCTAGAATCTGTGCGTTTGAATCTGGATCTGAAGTTGGCGTGACGTTGAAGTCGTGCTGCTGGACTCGGCTGTAGCACCTTTGTAGCATCATGTTAGCATTTAGCTTCTGGCCATTAGATTTATGATTAGAACATTATCAAAGTAGACACGTGGAGATTATCCGGCTGAACAAAACGTGATCTGTCTCTTAAATGTGTCTCAAACACTGACCTTATTTCGAGCTATTTTCTAAAATCCATGGAGAAATCTCATTGCTTTTTGGCGAAGGAACCGGAAGGAGTTTACTTCCGGGTTTTAGGATGCGTCACTGCGGCTCTCTATACGGGTCATTGTTGACCCTTACGGCCCGTCCACACGGCGGCGTGCGTTGAAGCTTCCAACGCTTCTGCCCATTCACTTTGAATGGGGTGACGTCACTTTTAGCCGAACTGCATTGTGGGAAGCGACGTGGAGCTTTGCTGGCGTGGCTCGCTGCAAAGGTTGAGCAATGTTCAACTTTTGACGCCTCGGCAGAAGCGTCAGCCAATCGAATCATATGCCAGTACAAGCTCTAGCCAATCAAACCGCTGCTTGTGTGTCCGGGGCGGGAGATTCATGTGATTGGTTGTTGGTCGAGTTTCAGACACGCCCGCCGGCAAGCGTCAACGCACGCCGCCGTGTGGAGGGGCCGTTAGGAGGGTCGTGATACAAAAATGATTTTCATTCAAAGATGAAGAAAGGAAAAATGAAAGTAAGAATGTGTGATGATCAAAAAGAAGTTAATTGATGAATACCTGGAATTCTAAATTATCAAAGTAATTTGCTGCAAAGATATTTACAATTAAATCTCACTCGGGTCACTTTCGACCTTTATATACAGTCTATGCTTTCGACCCATGTGTTGTATCAAAGGGTTAAAGCAGCAAAGGTTTCCTCTGGTCTTGTCACCTTGTACTCGGTTGGTATTAGTCAGTCAAATGTTGTATAATATGCATGGATGCCAACTCATTTGTACATGTCTCATTCACTCATTGTTAATATCTGTATTTATGGATGTCATTGTTTGTGCTTGTAAAAAAATTAAAAACTCGATAAAGATATTGTTTAAAAAAAAAAGAAGGAAAGTAGTAATTAAAACAAACAAAAGTAAGTAGCGCTCGCGACTTCAGTGACGTGGCAGATTTGTATTTGCCCTCTCTTTGAACTCACCTTTGACCCCCGCAACATATGTGAAAACTCAGCAAATGTTTCATGCGCGTCAGGACTGGTGGAAATTGCGATAATGTGTAATTGGTTCCGGAACTTTGCGTGAAAAAATGTGCAAGCCTCGCCCACGTAAACTCTCCCCACTTTCACGTAAGAGAACGAACATCGCTACGTATATCAAGGGTGCGGAGACGAACCCAAAAGCATCTTGGAGGTGTACAAAAAACATACAGGAAGCCGGCCATTTTGAATTTGGTATTGGTAAAACGCGATTCATCGCCCTCCGTACTTTAACGAACTCTTCCTAGGGATTTTATCTGATCGACTCCAAATTCGGCGGGTAGCGTCTCGAGACCTGGGGGACGGAACTTCTAAAATTCTAAACTTTTTGCACTATTTTTTATTTTTGTATTGTATCATAGGTCCAAGGTTCAAGGCTTTTATTGTCATGTGTACATAGAGAGCTACAGTGTAGATATATCAATGCAAATCTGAGGTCACAGGCTCCTCCAACAGAGCAACACAATACAACAAGATAACACAGTTAAAATGGTGCAAGTAAATACAAATAAAATAGGATAGAAATAGCATGTTGCATTGTTGGAGGAGCTCAGGAAGAAGAATCCATTTCTACACTGTAGCTGCTGAGCATGTGATGATGAAACCTTTGAATCTTTGAATTTGAATCAACAGATAGTGTGTGCTCATCGACGGGGTGCAGAAGAGGGAGGAGCCTCTCTCTCCCCCTCCTGTGGGAGTATATAAAGGCTAAACAATTATAATACAAAGAAACAAAAAATAGCAATGAAAAAAAAAGAAGCATAAAAATGGAAAAGATCAAAAATGAAGCATAAAAATCTTAAAGATCAAAAATGTACCAAACACACATCCAGGGAGCGTGACTGCCCCTCTGTTTGTGCTTCAACAGATAAAGTGTGTGCTGGTGGATGGGGTGCAGAAGTGGGAGGAGCCTCTCTCTCCTCTGTGCGAGTATATAAAGGGAGGCATCATTCTCAGACTGAGCCCTGGTACTCCTGCACCCACTGGTTCTCAGACTGGAGCCCTGGTACTCGTACACCCACTGGTTCCCCATGGCCTCCTCCCATGTGATGAAGCCGGAGCCGATGCCCCGCATGCAGCCGGCCATGATGATGTTCTGCAGCAAGTACTGGAGCCGGAGGGGCATGTCTCTGGACTCTGCCATGTTCCAGAGGCACACCGGGGGCCAGATGGTGAGAAGCCTCACATTATCATTCAATTCACCTTCAGACGTGGGAAGTTACTAAGTAGATTTACTCAAGTTACATTTTAACCAATCTGCACAACGACTACTGTTACTGTCGCTACTTTCACTATATTTTGATGATAATACTTTTATACTTTTACTTGAGGAACATTTTGAATGCAGGACTTTTACTGTAACAGAGTATTCCTACACTCTGGTACTTCTACTTTTACTCAAGTACAAGATCTGAGTACTTCTACTTTTACTCAAGTACAAGATCTGAGTACTTCTACTTTTACTCAAGTACAAGATCTGAGTACTTCTACTTTTACTCAAGTAGGCCTACCAGATCTGATTACTTCTACTTTTACTCAAGTACAAGATCTGAGTACTTCTACTTTTACTCAAGTACAGGATCTGAGTACTTCTACTTTTACTCAAGTACAAGATCTGAGTACTTCTACTTTTACTCAAGTACAAGATCTGAGTACTTCTACTTTTACTCAAGTACAAGATCTGAGTACTTCTACTTTTACTTAAGTACCAGATCTGAGTACTTCTACTTTTACTCAAGTACAAGATCTGAGTACTTCTACATTTACTCAAGTACAAGATCTGAGTACTTTCTACTGTTACTCAAGTACAAGACCTGAGTACTTCTACTTTTACTCAAGTACAAGATCTGAGTACTTCTACATTTACTCAAGAACAATATCTGAGTACTTCTACATTTACTCAAGAACAATATCTGAGTACTTCTACATTTACTCAAGTACCAGATCTGAGTACTTCTACTTTTATCTAAATATTTAAACTTTTGATTATTTAGTATTTTCTTCTCTCAAATGTTTCGACTGTTCAGATTTCTTCACTCTCTCCCACGCAGCGAACTGTCTGCTGTGCACACCGCTCAAACCGCTCACACCGCTCACACCGCTCGGCGCTCACACCGCTCGGCGCTCACACCGCTCGGTGCTCACACCGCTCACACCGCTCACACCGCTCACACCGCTCGGCGCTCACACCGCTCGGCGCTCACACCGCTCGGCGCTCACACCGCTCGGCGCTCACACCGCTCGGCGCTCACACCGCTCGGCGCTCACACCGCTCACACCGCTCGGTGCTCACACCGCTCGGTGCTCACACCGCTCGGCGCTCACACCGCTCACACCGCTCACACCGCTCGGCGCTCACACCGCTCGGTGCTCACACCGCTCGGCGCTCACACCGCTCACACCGCTCGGCGCTCACACACTCATTCACACTTCATCTCTGAAAACACGCAGAAAAGGATTTTTATGTCAGTGTTTTCTGAGCGATGCAGAGAAATGTAAATGATCACATGTCCCCCTCTGAGACAGAGACGGCACAGATTGGATCTCACTCCTGTGTTTTTCCGCCCGTAGGAAGCTCGGCTTTACCTGAAAGCACGAATGATTTGAGTCGTGATACGGCAGATTATTCATATCCTCCAGCAGACGCTCACTTTGCTGCCAAAGCTCCTTTATCTGCACTGATTATCATTTTAATATCTGTGTGTTGTAAATACTCTGCTTCAGTGATGGAGAGCATGTTGGCTCATTAAGCAGATTGTATTCACTTTCTGATAATCTGCAGAAAGCCTGTTTCAACCAGTTCTTGACCAAATGTCATCTTTTACAAAGTGTCCTGGTTTCCTCGTTTAAGCGCACGGTACATTTCCAACATGCTGATTTTATTAATGTATTATTTATCATTATTAAAACTAATCTCATCAAGTGTCTCCAAAATATAAAATATGATTTAAATAAAACAAATAAAACAAAAATTATTAAACCAAAAATGATAAACTGTATTTCTTGTTATCTTTGTTTTTAAAACATAGTTAAGAAAACTAAATAGGAAGCCTGTTTACTGACAAGCTAGCTATCTAACTCGCTAATTGGGGTAGGCTACTAACTAGCTTACTAACTAGCTAACTAACTAATTAACTAACAAGCCTACTAGCTAACTAGTGTACTAACTGAACTAACTATCTTATTTGCTTACTTCTTAACTAGCTAATATACTAACTAACCAACTACCTAGCAAACTTGCTTACGAACAAGTTGCTCAAGTTCTTAGTAATTCACTGAATACGTTTCTAGCTAACTAGCTTAATAACTATCTACTTAGTTTCTAGCTAACTAGCTTAATAACTATCTTACTTAGTTTCTAGCTAACTAGCTTAATAACTATCTACTTAGTTTGTAGCTAACTAGCTTAATAACTATCTACTTAGTTTCTAGCTAACTAGCTTAATAACTATCTTACTTAGTTTCTAGCTAACTAGCTTAATAACTATCTACTTAGTTTCTAGCTAACTAGCTTCATAACTATCTTACTTAGTTTCTAGCTAACTAGCTTAATAACTATCTTACTTAGTTTCTAGCTAACTAGCTTAATAACTATCTTACTTAGTTTCTAGCTAACTAGCTTCATAACTATCTACTTAGTTTCTAGCTAACTAGCTTAATAACTATCTTACTTAGTTTCTAGCTAACTAGCTTAATAACTATCTTACTTAGTTTCTAGCTAACTAGCTTAATAACTATCTTACTTAGTTTCTAGCTAACTAGCTTAATAACATTACATTACATTACATTGCATTTAGCTGACGCTTTTATCCAAAGCGACTTACAATAAGTACATTCGACCAGGAAGACCCAACCTTGAAGAAAACAGAATCATAAAGTACATCAGGTTTCATAGAGCCAAACATTTCAAGTGCTACTCAACTGGCTTTAGGTAAGCCAGTCCTTTATTAGTATAAAAGTGCTTCGTTAATCGTTCTAATGCTCGAAGTGGAGTCGAAAGAGATGAGTTTTCAGTTTGCGCCGGAAGATGTGCAAGCTATCTGCCGTCCTGATGTCAATGGGGAGCTCATTCCACCATCTTGGAGCCAGGACAGCAAACCCACGTGTTTTCGCTTAGACCCTCTGTCCTTAGACCCTCTGTCCTTAGACCCTCTGCCCTTAGACCCTCTGTCCTTAGACCCTCTATCGTCCTTAGACCCTCTATCATTAGACCCTCTGTCCTCAGACCCTCTGTCCTCAGACCCTCTATCCTTAGACCCTCTGTCCTTAGACCCTCTGTCCTTAGACCCTCTGTCATTAGACCCTCTGTCCTTAGACCCTCTTTCTTCAGACCCTCTGTCCTTAAACCCTCTGTCCTTAGACCCTCTGTCCTTAGACCCTCTGTCCTTAGACCCTCTATCATTAGACCCTCTATCCTTAGACCCTCTGTCCTTAGACCCTCTGTCCTTAGACCCTCTATCATTATACCCTCTGTCCTCAGACCCTCTGTCCTCAGACCCTCTGTCCTTAGACCCTCTGTCCCTTAGACCCTCTGTCCTTAGACCCTCTGTCCTTAGACCCTCTGTCCTTAGACCCTCTATCCTTAGACCCTCTATCATTAGACCCTCTGTCCTCAGACCCTCTGTCCTTAGACCCTCTATACTTAGACCCTCTATACTTAGACCCTCTCTCCTTAGACCCTCTGTCCTCAGACCCTCTGTCCTCAGACCCTCTGTCCTTAGACCCTCTGTCTATACCCTCTATCGTTAGGCTCTCTGTCCTTAGACCCTCTATCCTTAGACCTCTGTCCTTAGACCCTCTGTCCTTAGACCCTCTGTCCTTAGACCCTCTATCATTAGACCCTCTGTCCTTAGACCCTCTGTCCTTAGACCCTCTGTCCTTAGACCCTCTGTCCTCAGACCCTCTGTCCTTAGACCCTCTGTCCTTAGACCCTCTGTCCTTAGACCCTCTGTCCTTAGACCCTCACATCGTACAAGGAAACACTTCCAGAGAAAACCCACAGTTTAAGGGGAACATGGGAGAAACCTCAGGGAGAGCAACAGAGGAGGGATCCCTCTCCCAGGACGGACAGACGTGCAATAGATGCCGTGTGTAAATCCAAGAGATAATACATTTTACAGCATATAGACCGAATGTTAGGAAATGCATGTGTCTGTAATAAGAAGATGAATCCACGAGGATGTCAGCTACAATCCTGTGGAAGCCATCAGGGAAGCAGCATGACGAGACCCAAGGCAGGACCGCAGAGACAGGTTCAGCCACGACCCGAAGTCCACGACTTAATCCAGAACTCAAGATAGAGGATCCAAGACACAGGACCACAGCAAGAGGATCAGCCTCGACTCCGGATCCCGGCGTAGACATAGATACAAAACAAGAACAAAGATTTGGCTGGGTTAATCGGAATAAGAGAATACACAGACACAGACAGAGAGGGGAAAGGTCATTGGATACAAGTTATTCTTGATAACCCTCTAGAAAGATCTCATGATCTTCCCCACTCAATCTATCAAGACCCGAGCAGTTCTATTAGATATAGATAAGAAACAGAGAGAGGGAGCACAACAACCTATCTCTTCGTCAGATGCACTCCCCCGCTTATCTAAGCGACTCTCTACAAGGCCATAGACCAGCAGAGGGAACCGTTACCCTCTACAAGGCCATAGACGTACCCCGTTACCCTCTACAAGGCCATAGACCAGCAGAGGGGGCCGTTACCCTCTACAAGGCCATAGACCAGCAGAGGGGACCGTTACCCTCTACAAGGCCATAGACCAGCAGAGGGAACCGTTACCCTCTACAAGGCCATAGACCAGCACAGGGGACCGTTACCCTCTACAAGGCCATAGACCATTACATTGCATTTAGCTGACGCTTTTATCCAAAGCGACTTACAATAAGTACATTCGACCAGGAAGACACAACCTTGAAGAAAACAGAATCATATAAGTACATCAGGTTTCATAGAGCCAAACATTTCAAGTGCTACTCAACTGGCTTTAGGTAAGCCAGTCCTTTATTAGTATAAAAGTGCTTCGTTAATAGTTCTAACGCTCGAAGTGGAGTCGAAAGAGATGAGTTTTCAGTTTGCGCCAGAAGATGTGCAAGCTATCTGCCGTCCTGATGTCAATGGGGAGCTCATTCCACCATCTTGGAGCCAGGACAGCAAACC